CATATTTAGAGAATATAAAGATTTGTATAAAGTTGAAATATGATATTTATTATTAATAAACTCGAGCTTCTCAGAAAATTTACACAATACCGAAACATTAACTAAATTTACAGTTAAACAAACCCAATACATTGCAAAAATCGACTATATCTTAACATTAAACCCAGATCTCTTGCTATTAAAAGCTTGCACTTATTCAAACTAAACGATTAGTTAATCTCTCAAATATTATTTTTGAGTAATGTTTTGAAGCTCTTTGAGCATAAGCTGCTTGCACTATCTCAACATTCCATGTAAACCAAAATTTACTTCCTTTTTCTAATTGACTTTCTATTTCTATTTCACCACCATAAATTTCTACTAGCTGTTTACATGCTAATAATCCAAATCCTGTACCATCTTGTTGCAAAATCTTTGATTCATTAACTTTTAAATTGCTTTTCCAAATATTATTTATAAATTAGTAATAAAAGTTTATTTAAATCTAACATAATAAACGGTTTAAGCAAAAAATATTTCCAATTACCTTTTTCTACAGTATAACTTTGCACGGTCCATTAGGCGACAGTATTTTTGTCTTCTAAGCAAAGTTCACAAAGAGTAAGATTCTTTTGTATAGTGAATATTAGCATTTGTTCAAAGCTGAAAATGGCTTTTGTGGTGATTTTTTATTAGTGAAACGTTCAGTTATAAAAAAGTACTGTATAATGTATAAATAAGTTACCGGGGCAATTGATTTACATCAGCCAATCAGACAAACTTCTTCCTTTGACTATTGATATCCGAATAATTATCTGAATATCTGTTGGATTATCTGGAAATTTGGCTGTTGGATAACTCAGATACGAATAAATGAATGACGAATTTATCCGGATTGGATCTCTAACAGCTTCAAAAAATAAACACATTTTTTTTAATCTATAAACACTTTGTAAAAATCCAATTAACCTCACCCGAAGATTTTTATTGATTATCCTACCTGGCAATTAGCAATGATATGGGAGAACTCTCAGGAAAATCACAAAATTCCGGACGAAATGCATCAAAACTCTGGCAAGTGGCCGAAATCGTCAATTTTACTCAATATCACTAAAAATTTTATAAAGTCATACCTATTCATAAGCAAAATGCCCAGCAGATAATTTTACTATAGAAACTTGACCAGTATCGCTTATACCGTCCCATTTCGAAGAATTCCAACCCAGAGTTTTGGGATAATCCTGTAAGAGTTGTACAACCATTAAATTCTTTGATTTCTTAAATTTCATAAATCATTATCGTTGTTTTCGAATTAGTGCAATAAGTGAATTTTGTAAACCCTACGAATCCTGCATATTGCCATTGTAAAATGCAGAATTTGTAGGGTTCACAAAATCTGTTTATCGCACTAGTTCGAAAATAGCGATAAGAGTATTGATCGACCAAATTATCCTTGATTAGTAAAAAACTAATTAGTATAAACCTGTGAATATATTAGAGCTCATGACGTTATCTAGAGCTCTAATAGTCATAATTATCCAATCATATCTTTCCACACTTTGGTCGACTGTTAGAAGCTTGGCTTAGTTTTTTGTCCCGACTCATATTGGACCCGGAACTAGTTATCACTTTGCGACATGCGTATCTATGTACCAAATTTACTTCAGTTACCCTGATTTCCCTTGTGAAAATACTCAATAAAGTTAGTATAATTATTCAGATGCTACAAACACCAACATATATGTACGACTTCAACATGATAATCCATGAATTCTCTGATTAGTCGATAATGTATACTGCATTCTTCAAAGTAAATTCCAAAGCCTTTTTCATTCCAATGTTTATAAAAAAAGCCTACTTTTCGTTGTTGTAAAGAATAAGTTACTTTGGAACAATTAAATACTTAATAGAACCTACGGGTTATAAATATATTTCTTAAACTTTTCCCAAATCATCATTGTCACGCCTCTGGAGAATTGCCTTATCATATTATTATCATATTTCTACAAAACCGTACATTTCACCACGTAACACTAGACTCAATATATGGTAATATTGTTTGAATATACAGTAACATTGTTTGAATATACGGTAACATTGTTTGAATAGATGGTAACATTGTTTGAATAGATGGTAACATTGTTTGAATAGCTGGAGTTAATCAGGGAATAATAGTATAAATAAACAAAGAATAAAAAATACAAAGAGAAATAATAATACTAAAGATGGGTTTCATGGTTCCTCAATTATACGCATTTATCTCATCAAAATTTTATATAGAAAATTTAAGATGAGAAGGGTCGGGGCAAAAATTTAAGCAAATATTTGATATAAATTCAAAAAAAGTTACATCAAGCGATATCATGCGCATTTTATATAATATGCGCATTTTCTCATTTCCAAATGACACTAAAATTTTTTGTCCAAACAGTTTAATAGCATCTCTGATTACAGTATCTGATTAAAATATATATAGCAGACCAGCAAGATAAGAGGTGGGCAAGGTCCTGGAATGGCTGAAGTGTTGCTTGTGAAAATCTAAAATAAAGAAATAAGAAAATGGGGAGATTAAATAAAAATTAAATACTTCAAGAGCGAAAATTAAAATCAAATGAAAATACTCCCATCGCTTACTGATGTGAGAATATTTTTAAGAATTATGTGCATGAATGCACTTATTCTCTTGTATTTTTGAATCTTTTTATCGCTGTTTTTAAATTAGTGGATAAGTGGATTTTGTGAATTCCATGAATCCTGCATTTTACCATTGTTTTAACAATGGTAAAATGCAGGATTCATGGGATTCACAAAATCCGTTTATCGCACTAATTCAAAAACAGCAGTAAAATGAATATGCATCTAAATAATTATAAAGAGTGGATTTAAAAGTTAATAGAAAGTCTAACTGAATTCTATCTCAAGCGATAATAACCATTTTTTCATTATGCTTCCTAGTCCAGCGCCTAAAAAAACACGTAGCCAACTAAATAATGCCCAACGCAAAGAAATTTGCGAATACCATATTAAGAACCCATCTGCAAAACACTATGATATTGCGGATGAATTTAAGAGAAGATATCCTGAATTAAATTTAGACCGAACAACCGTTTCTAAAATTTTTTAAAAAAAAGATCAGTATCTGCACATTGAAGAAAATGATGCAACACAAAATCGGTATAAAAACAGAGGACCAAAGTACCCTTTAATTGAGAAAGCAATGAATATTTGGGTTAGCCAAGTTTCGGCTGCAGGTCTAGTTCTTACAGATGAATTGGTAAAAACAAAGGGTCGTAAATTTGGAAGACTCCTTGGCATTTTAGAAGATGAACTAAAGTTTTCAAACGGGTAGATAACTAATTATAAAAAACGAAATTCTTTGCGTTGTTATAAACTTCACGGTGAAGCTGCAAGTGCACCTTTGGAATCCCTGCCAAATGAAAGAATAAAGCTTCAGAATCTCCTTTCTCAATACAAGTTGGAAGATGTATACAATGCTGATGAAACAAGATTGTTTTACCACATGTTACCAAACCAAACATTAGCGAAGCGGCCTGTTGCTGAGTCAAAACAGGTTAAAAAAAAAAAAAAAAAAATTCATTTTTAATCTCTAATTAATTCTACTTATGATAATGTGTTATTACAGGATAAATCACGAGTTATAGTTCTACTTGCTGCAAATGTAACTGGTTCACACAAACTTCGGCCCCTGGTCATCGGTCATTCGAAAAAGCCACGAAGTTTCAGTGGTATAAAATTGTCACAACTTCCAGTCACCTATAGGAATAATGAAAGAGCATAGATGAGATCGGATATTTGGGAAAAATGGTTATGCTATATTAATTCTGGGTTTCGCATTCAAAATAGGAAAATCTTGCTGCTTGTAGACAATGCACCATCCCATAGTTCACCTGAATTACCTAATAATACGAATAAGACACTTAGTGTCAATAACATAGAGAATGATGATTATTAGTCAAGTTCCGAAAATGAAGACTTAATGAATGATTCCCCCGGCTCTAGAGACAATGATGAAACTGAAAGATCACTTGAAAAGCAACAAAAAGGACAATGCGGAAGCACACGTGGAAGACCACGTGGAAGCACACACGGAAGACCACATGGAAGCACGTGCGGAAGGCCTCGCGGAAGCACACGTGGAAGGCAATGAGGAAGAATAAGAACCAATACCAATTCTTCTCGCAGACGAAATAAAGAATCTTCCGAGACGTTGAAGCTTACAAATATTACCTGCATTATCTTCCACCTCACACAACTGCTCACATCCAACCAATAGACGCCGATATAATCAAATCATTTAAGTTAAAATATAAGTGCCTATACTGTGAATATGTTCTCAAGCAATTTGAATCCAATGCTAATATAGAAAAGTTCGTATAATTATTTGCAAAAATACGGTATGGTTTGTTGCTATTGTTTGGACTAATTTTTTTTTTTTTTTTTTTCTTGTAGAAAAAAATAACTATTAAGAAAGCAATTGATTTTATCGCAGAATCATGGGACAATGTAAGTAATACAACCATTCAAAACTGCTAGAACAAGACAAGAATTCTTCCAAACATAAATGAGCCAAATATGGATACTGTAGATCAACCCGAAAGCGATATTCTATCAGAAAATAATGAAATTAGTTACTAAATTAACAGATGAAAGTTCATATGCGCCAGAGACAGCTCAAGTTATAACAACATATCTACAAATAATTGACGAACCTGTTGCTACAGAAGAAATACTCGATGACGAGAGGATCATTTCTATAGTTCAAGCTGATGAAAATAAAGAAGCAGTCAGCCAAGAAATTGAAGATGAAGATGAAGTACCTGATCCACCCATAACAGCTGCTGAAGTATTTAATGCAATGCAAACTGTTATTCGCTATGAAGAACAGAAAAATTCAGAGTCGAATCTCTCTCTCGAAGAATTAGGATTTTTAAGAAATCTGCTTAAAGAATATAAACATGTATATGAAAAGTCGAAAAAACAAAAAAAAATTACTAGTTTTTTCAATTTTCAAGGTTCACATTTTTATGATTCACATCCAGATCTATATTTCCAAGATTCGTATTCCCAAGACCCCTATCCTCAAGATTTGTATTCCCAAGACACCTATTTTCAAGATTCGTATTCCCAAGATTCATATTCCCAAGGCCCTTATTCCCAAGATTCATATTCCCAAAACCTCTATTCTCAAGAATCAGATTTACAAGAATCAAATTCACAAGAATCAGATTCTCAAGAATTATGCCTACAAGATTCATATTCCCAAGATTCGTATTTTTTTTATTCTCAAAATTCGTATTTCTAGAATATAAATATATAAATAAATAGATTTTAAATTTTTAGTGTAAAGACTTTTATTTGAAACTTAGCTGTCACGATTTTTAGTAGTTGGAATTATCTTCACATAATCTCTAGCCTGTAATTAATACATTATTTAATTAGCTTAAGTTGACGCCTATGTTTCTATATGAATTATTAATATATATACCTTGTGAAGGGAAAATCCTATCATCTGTACTCATATTCAATATAATAAACATGTACATATTGAATATAATAAACCTCAAATAGAGAGTAATATTTAAAACTCGAAAGAATAAGTGTCTAAATTTCAATTGCGATACTATAAATTGATTACTAGAAATTTGTACCACATGTTAATTGTGATCAGTGATAATTAGGGCTGATTCCACCTGAGACAAGAGAACCTAACTAAAATGATGAAATGGGAAATCAGAGTATGGCTGTGAGGTAGCATAGTAGCATTCAAGAAGTCATGACTAGAGGTGTTAACGCAATGCTATAATTGGTCGTACTGTAATTATAATAAATTATGGCAATTATGACCAAATACGGCGTCAACACCTCCAGTCATGACTATCACGGAAAACAAAACCACTGACAAACTATATTTGTGCACGCCTTGAGTAATTATCCCATGTAATTATCACCTTAAAGTAGTTCTGTCTGCCACATTGGTACTGTGCTTTTAAAAGCCAAAAACCTTCTCACGTTTAAAATTATTATGCATAATATAGTCAGCCTCAGTATTATATAATACTTAATTCTATAAATAAATATATTACCTTTGAGGGCTTACTGAATCTTATTTCACGTAATTCCAAGTTGAGGTTAGAATTAAGTGGCATATAAATGTATATTGATCTCTTGACTAACCATGAATGTGAAACATGCTATTCTTGAAGGCTTTCACCTTACTGTTTGTGCAATTTATAGTGTAAAAAAAAAAGTTAAGGAAATAATAAAAAAAAAAAACTAGTTACCAAATTGCACTTTATTACAAATTTAGTGTTTGAGAAAAATTTTAATTACCTTTATATAGTCACTAAATATTTGTATTTATTATTAAAGTGATTATATGAAGGTTTTTTAATATAGTCACACCTTTTTATAGTCACTTAAATTTTGTTTCCCAAACCGGTGACTATAATGAGGTCTGACTGTAGTTAATTTAAAAATATTCGAATTATTTCGAAATTATTAAAAATATTTAAATATATTTTAAATAAGTATAGTAAATTTTAAAGACAAAAAAATTAGAATATTTAAATTATTAGATTTTATTTCAAATATACATTCACTTAACATTATAAATAAAAGTATATAGTCATTTATCTAAATATTTTAAATAATTTCTAAATATTATTTAATTTGCGTTATTTCTATTAATACTTTGTTAACTTCATATTTTTTTCGAATTAATATAAATATTTCGCAATATTTCGATTATTACTGAAAAATTGCTAAAACTAAGATATTCTAATCAATTAAGCTATATTTAAGATAAGCAAAATAAATAATAAAA